AGTGCTTCACGACCTGATCCAGGGATTTAACTCACGAATATTAGATGAGAGTAACACATGTTTAACAAACTCTGATATCCACTAAGCCAACAACACAAAGAACATCAGTGGTGTATTTCTGGAACCGTTATATTCAATAACAGGTGGTTTTGACATTTTGTTATCATAGCAGAACACCCACGTAGAGGAGGAAGTTATAATTTTATTTCGATATCGTCTTTCTGCTTTATGGCCAGCGCATGCATACGGATAGAAAATGATTTCAGCAGATATACAAAAATAGAAAGGGATGTAAGACAAAGATATGTCTTCTTACCGGATTTATTCAACCTATTTTTTTTATCCCGTAGGTCCGTAGGGGCACCGTATGTTCTGCAGCTGCAGTAGTGGTGTTTCTTGGGCAAGATGGCCAGACGGAGCCCAAACCTCTACAGGCCGGTTTTGAATTCAGAGTTTTCCTTCTCCTATACCGGTTGCCACACAAGGTTATAGAACCCAGTCTGTCCTGCAATTTATCCATAATGGGATGTGGGGAGAGAGAAGAAAAGGATTCATACCTTTCCCAAGGGTATTAGCACGTAAGTGAATGCAATGGATTTAACTTATACAGCGAGATAATTCTGTTAAATATCCAGCCAAGATTCACCACTGGCGACCATAATCTTAACAACATAAGATATGCAAATGACGCAGTGCTGATAGCAGGGACATTGAAAGAAAACTACAAAATGCTCATACAGAAGTTAGCAAAGGAAATCGAGAAGAAAGGATTAAACATAAGCTGTAAGAAGACGAAATGCATGGTTGTTAGCAAAAGGGACAGCCCCAAATTCAAATTACAAATAGGAGATTCCAAAATCAATCAAGGAGAAAAATTTAAATATCTACAAAGTGTTATAACAGAAGACGGAATATGCAACAGTGAAATCCGAAGATACATTGGGAGTCGCCAAAGACGCCTTCCAAAAACTAAGCAGAGTATTAAGAGACAGAAAAACGTCGTTAAAAACAAAGAGTCCTGAACTATTACATGATATCTATCCTTCTATATGACAGGGAATGCTGGACAATCTCCTCAAAGATGAAGAAGAGTTGAAGCAACAGAAATGTGGTTCTACAGAAGGATGCTGAGGATACCAGGGACCGAACATGTGAGCAACAACGAGATTCTAGAGAAAATAGAAACGAAAAGGAAACATACTTAACATCAGAAAGAGACAGTTGAAATTTCGGGGTACATAATGAGGAAGGAGAGCTTGGAAAATCTGATACTCACAGGACAGATTGAGGGCAAGAGGGACAGAGGAAAACAACATAAAACATAATTAGTGAATTTGAGTAAATGGGTGGCGGAACAAAGTTTAGGAGAAATAATAAAAATAGAAAACTTGGTAAGAGCTACAAAGAACAAGAAATTGTGGAGAGGCGTGGTCGCTTACCTCCTGAGAAGATAGGGTCATCTGGAGACCATGCAACAACAAAACTGGATATACGGTGTATCCGGTTGCTGGTCTATATTAACAGTGATGCTTAATCGTGGAACAGTTCTGGTCTACCCTTAGCGGGAGACGGACATACCCGTCGCATGGTTCCGATGCCACCCGTTCGTATTGACAGCCTCACGCCGAGACGTTGTAGATGGGCGAGGTGTTAGTAGGGGTAAGAGCTGATCTATGAGATTGATATAGATATTGTCAAAAACGTTGCCTACCTACCCACACGGGAGAGCAGGCAAAGCCTTTAATAAAATATCTATCATATAATATGGGGAAACAGGGTTTGCTTTCCTATTTCCTGATGTGGCATTTGTCTTTCATCTTGTTACCTTGTGATCATGCAGTAGGCACTTTCCTTGCTTTTGAGGGACAAAGACGTGATCGAGAATGAAAATGCAATTTGGGATATTCATTGGGTAACCGGTCGGAACTTTGGGCGTGGCTTGCCTTGTCTGATCAAAGAGGTCATTTGTTGCATCTAATTTTGTCAATATACATTTTTCTAATCATTTCACCCCAAGCAAGGCGATGAAGCTACTACGACGCAAGAGTTTACTGAGTGTTAGAGAATACGAGAAAAAAATACTATTAAAGAGAGAGGACAATACAACAATCAGAATTAAGAAGACAGAAGATGACGATTGACACTACATCTAAAATTTTAAAGATCAAAGTTGACTGTGAAGTAAGAAGCCGGAAGAATGTTCCACAAGCGAGAACTGCGATAGAAGGAACTATTAGCATAGAACTTACGGTTACACCTAGCCATTTCGACTGTAAAAGGATAAGACCTTCCTGCCAATCTAATACTCCGCTTATATTCATAAAGCTTAGGTACCACAAAGGAAATTAATATTTATATTGAAAATGCAAAAATCTGGCACAAGGTCGGGGGGGAGAATAGTGGAAAACTGGTCTTCAATCTGTCTTATCCTAAACTTGGCTAGCCACAATTACTGACCCAGATATACCACAGTATTCCTTACGCCAACATTCTTACTTACTATTTTTACTACAACCATCATAATACCGCAAAGTCTTAACTAATTCCCATATGTACAATTTTGTCTCTCTCTTTAAGAGTACTTTTTTTCTCATTTGTCTGTGGAGTGTTGGAAATAATAAAAAAAAATAGTTCATCAGAACTATTAACATGAAAACATTTATAGAAAACACACAGGGTAGCTACGTTAAACTGTTGTTCTCATCTTGCTTATTATGAATGTTATGACAGACACCACGTCTGATGAGTGTCAGAAGGTATTTGGCCGAAACGATGTGCTTATAGCAACCAAAACAAGAACAATAGTATATTGACAAATCATCTTAAAATGCAATGCAAAACTTTCAAAATTGTTTATTTTTCATTCGCATTTTTAGTATTCACAGTGTCTAGAACCTTCAACGAGTAATCTGAAAAAGAGAATTTGCGCCAAGGTGTTCCTCTTTCCCACAGATGGACTACTGCAAGCAACTCTACCCCTATTTCCATGGCAAATGTTAAAATGAGCCTCATTCTTTAGTTTCCCTAACCCAGACCTTTAAAGCTAGGATACGTCATGCCACTTCCAGAGAGTCGAATCGCCGTCTTTTCCTCCATATTCAAAATGTAAAGACACATGGCCCACTGAATAAAACCGTTGGTTGGATCCAGTGATTTGACCCAAAGAGTTGTGAGTTCAATACCTGGCTACTGCAGTGGTGAACAAAAACTTGGACAGTTGAGTTAAAAGGGGATAACTGAGATAACGAGAAGAGGTATGACACGTGGAACTAGAAGAATCTACCCCGGTGGACGAAATAAAGTTCGAAACGTCGTGAATATGGCAACAAAGATGATAACAGCAGTTCGAACAATGTAAATAGTGTAAGCAAGAAGAAAGTTCCACCCAGGCAAATTTTTTTTCCAAGAACTTTGTGCAAGAGACTCCCGCAAAAATGCTTCCCTGAACACTTCAATCTTGACCTCATCAAGTCAACTTTCAATCATTACCCTTTTTTTCTTTATCAACATAATCTTCACTTCTTACCAATCTCTCTTCCATTCATATGACACACTTCATTCACCATTAACATTTCAACTGTAGTACCTATCTTGAGTGGCTCTTGTGCCTTGGATTGGGTAAAAGTTCGATTAATTATCATTTTATGCCATATGACTATTCGACTGTATGTGAAAGGTTTGGTAATTCTATCAATAAGGACACCATTTCTGACTTACCTTTCTTACAAGGAAATTATGATGCCCACTTAAATGGGCAGTAACCAAAAATGCTTCCCTAACCGAATGAAACACCCTCTTTATCTTCACATAAATAGAAAAGATATTTATATCCATCTGTGGCCATCTTGATTTTCGCACCTTTTATTCCAACTTTATTGCTCGCAGTAAATATCAATAAAGAGCGCTGTTTGTCCATTATTAAAAGCCACAGTGTCGAAAACAAACACCGCAAACTGTTATGACGTGTACAACTAAATGGATGCCGTTCCAGTCATTGCGCATGCTCAGACACCAACGAGATTATTCGGTCGAGGATTCGCCTAATATTTGAATATCAAAAGCAGAGGGCAATTGGTCTTGTTTCTATTTTTAAGGCGCAGCATGATATTTTTTTTCAAGATCAATTGCGTCTAGCTTCGATTCTAGATTATTCCACGTTTATACTAATAATCGGATAATGTCTAATCGAAGAAAATTATCTTGATATTAATTCGTAAACCGACAGAAAATATGATATACAAATATGTAAAAGTCGATGTTTCTGGTTGCTAGCTGTAGAGGCTATACTCAACACAGTCAGAATGCAATATAAAAGAAAGGCAGGATATGTTAACGAATCTATCAATACGGAGCATTTCAGATCGATTTTTCCAGATTTTTTTTAGTCGAAATTACTCCATGTAAGGCATTAAAGCCACTAAGACACATTGGGTTACTGGGCGGGAGAGAATTAAAAAAAAATAGAAACATTTTTAGTGACGAAAACAATAGAAGATAAAGACAGTCGATAACGATTAACATTGCATTTAAATTTTTGAAGATCAAAATCCAGAATAGAATTCTATAATCGAGAAGTGCGAGAAAGGAAAATGTTAGCTGAGAAGTTACGGTTCCATCAAGCCAAATCATGTGTAAACCGATAGGACCTTGTTGCTAAACTAGTATTGTGCTTGAATCCATAAAGTCTAGGTACCATAGCCAAGAGCTCATTCGAACAATTACCATGAAAGTATTTATAGAAAAGGCATAGGGAAGCAACTTTACGGCGTTGGGAAATTGACTGAAGCCGAGACACCGGGTTAGGACCAATAATATTGCCGATTCTTCTTTAGATCTTATCAAGGATCTCAAACTAAATATCAGGGTCACCGGACCATATGTGGCAGCAATATTCGAATCATGGACGAAAGGTAGACTTATAGATGTTTGCGATGTTTGTTTTCAACACTAATGGACAAAATAGTTTCTGGAGAGAAAAATTGCCTCGCATGCAATTTCAGTCTGTTCATATCTATCTATCTATCTATCTATCTATCTATCTATCTATCTCAGTCTTTTTATCTATCTATCTATCTATCTATCTATCTATCTATCTATCTATCCATCCATCCATCTATCTATCTCAGTCTTTTTTTTTATTTATTTATCTATCTATATCTATCTATCTATCTATCTATATCTTTTTTTATTTATTTATCTATCTATCTATATATATATATATATCTATCTCAGTCTTTTTATTTATTTATCTATCTATCTATATATATATATATATCTATCTCAGTCTTTTTATTTATTTATCTATCTATCTATCTATCTCAGTCTTTTTATTTATCTATCTATCTATCTATCTATCTATCTATCTATCTATCTATCTATCTCAGTCTTTTTATCTATCTATCTATCTATCTATCTATCTATCTATCTATCTATCTATCCGTTTACTCGCGGAGCTAATAATTAAAGTTCGAACCCTTAACCATTTATATAACCTGCATCTTTTTCAGAATCTTTTAAACCATTCTTGGTCATAGAAATTCTACAAGATGGAAGCTAAAAGAGGAATGATGGGAAGGAAGGAATAGAATAAAAGGAAATATTAGGTCAGAAGAAATGGTAGCAACATCAATGATAACAATAAGAGAACTGGGGTGGCTTTATGTTGAATGCAAAAGGAAATCGATCGTTATGCTCAGAACTCATTGTGAATTGTCGTAAAACGAAGGCGCATAAGCTATGTCGGTGTATCGCGGTGTGCATGCGTGCTTGTATTCCTAGGTGCCAGTGCACAATGCTCTCTGATTTGTAGAAGTCATTTTACGTACGTTTAAATATTTACGTTGATTTTTTAAATAGATAGATAGATACTGAAATAGCTACTGAAATAAATATATATATGTGTGTGTGTTCTGCTTTTGATCTTCAGTTGTTCATTTGTGTCAATATTTATATATAAATATATATATATATATATATATATATATATATATGAATATATATATGGACAATATATTTATTAAGATGAAGACTGGTAAAATATTTTTAACAGACTGGTAAATATATTATGTAATCGATAGATAGCTAGATACTGAAATACACATTGATTGAAATTTATGTGTATGTTGAGATTGATAACAGCGAGATGGGACTAGACAAGATTTAAACAGATTGACAAATATATGAAAAATTTACATTCATTGAAGGTCTGTTTGTAAATCATTTAATATCAATACGTTTTATGAGCTACCTAGAGTCGTGACACTTTAATTCTTTTCAAAGTTTTCCTCTTGGCAATTCACTTATTTATCCCGGCATCCATTCCATTTTTCAAGACAACCTATAGAACGTTTTCTTTGTATACTGTTAAAAGTTTCTCCATGATCTCTCCCACATTATGAAATCCCAATTTTTTATTTTCGATTGTAACACTGTTCTAGAGAAACAAAATGGATTGTAGCGATGTGTAAAAAACTATCAGGTTCAAAGGCAGTTGTGAGTTCAATCCCTGGCTCGGGTAGTGCTGAAAAGTTACACTAGTTCACAGATAGAAATGGATAAGAGATACGAAAATGGATAAGTATCAATTAACTAATATGAAATATCTCCCAAGCATAGTTCCGTGGCAGTTGTGCGATCAAGCCCTGGCTCTGGTTGTGCTGAAAAGTCATATACTATGGTTCAGTGGAAGAAACGGCCAAATGACACAAAGGTGGATAAGACTTGTGAGTATAAACTGATGTGAGTTATCTGCCCTTAGCATAGAAAGATGAGTGCGAATAATCAATCCTCACGGACTGAACAAAGGGTTCAGTTCTAATAAGGTTACAAAGTATGAAAGCAGACTCCTGAAGAAGGTTGGAAATTGCATCGACTGAAACTTTGTGAGTATAACAACCAAGATGAGCATACTTGTCTACGGAGCGAGATTTCAAGTAATCATTATAGGCCACGTGCTCTTTAGATAGTAACACTGGTTAGCTTGATATGGCACATGGCCCAAATAGTGCGATACCCAATAAATATCGACTACGCTTTCATATTAAAGGTCTACGAGACGAGCTTGTTATCTGTTGTCTCTGTCCAGTTGCCTTTGGATGAGCCTACTCTACTACAAGGGTTCAAATAGTAGCAGACCTCCTAAGAAATAAACTCACAACTAGTGCTCTGCAAAACTGTTTTTTCGCCTTACGGTTTGGTTTGGTTTGATTTGGTTGATTTTGTTTAACGGCATAACAACTTCTATGGGTTATTTAATGTCGAAATCTAAATATTTGGAGCAGAGTTTTATGGCTTTGAACTCAATATATTTTGAATACAGTTGTATGTATTCAACTACAGATAAAATGTATTGCTGGTAATTTTACTATAGATATGTATTGTTGGTAACTTTTTTTATATAAAAATGTATTTGCTGGTATTTTTATATAAAAATGTATTTTTATACTTTCATAGTGTTTTTTGTTTTTGTTTGGGAGCTCACTATTTGCCCATATCTGGGGCTCTAACAGGTGCCCCCCACCCTAGTCAGGGTGGACTTGGAAACAATAACAATTAAGATGTGGTTCCACGCCCGTTAAAACCTCCAATCTCCTGATCAGAGACTTTGTTGCCGGATGTAGTTTATCGTCATACCCAGGACTATCGCCCTGTGGAAAGCATTCTCCGTGTGCGTGAGAGTGTCATTGATTTGTTCATCAGTCGATAGAATAACGCTCATAGCATTCTTCTTTTGAGGCTTAGAGTCGAAACACGTTGTCTTTCTGGACGCGCACGCATAAAATGCCCCTGTATGATGTCAAAATCGATTATTCACTTGGAACATGTAAAAACATCTAAGGAATTATTTTTAAAAATGCATAAATACCAGAAATTTTTTCTAAAAAGTTACAAACTAGGTCTCTAGTTCGTTAGACGAGATATTGTTAGTACATACATTGATTGTATCGGATTAGTCATCTTAATTTTATTATTTTTATCATAATATTTCGATCGTTGTGTTATATAACTTTCCTTGGGTGTCTATCGCATTTCGTAAACTTTTGGAAGTCCTGGGTATAAGATAAACTACATCCGGCAGGAAGACCTCGGATCGGGAGGTTTTGAGGAACGTGGAACCACCTCTTAATTGCTGCAGTTCCCAGGTCCACGTTGATCCGGGTTGGTAGCACCTGTTAGGATCTCAACAATGGGCAAATGGTGAACACCCAAACTGGCGTCAAAACACTATGAAAATATAGAAATACATCTTTGTAGTGAAAGTGCCAACAATACATTTTCATAATAAAAAAATACCAGCAATACGCTTTTGTAAAAGAATATTACCAGGCAAATATATTGTAAGGAAAAAGAATATTACCAGAAATACATTTTTGTAAAAAAAAAAAAAGATAGTACCAGAAGAAAAATTGCCAGCAATACATTTTTGGAAAAAAATTACTAACAATACATTTTGGTATAAGAAATTATTAATGCTCCTAAGAAAATAAAATTTCGGCATTAAATGGCCCATAAGGAGTTGATATGCCGTTAAACAAACAAAAGTAAACTTTTGGGAATGTTGAATGGAAAAAATCTCTTTCTCATTACTTGATATTAATTTTCAGCATCCATGACTGTCACTTCTTCTACTGAATGAAAGTCGGTTTCACCACTGTCCCTGATGCTGGAATTGAACTCTCAATTTCTATGGGATGATAGGGGCTGTTCTTTTATCGACAAAGTCATGTTTTAAAAAACATTTTTTTTTTATCTGTTGTCCTTGTTGTGCAGTTCATTTACTCACTCAAATAGTTTAATTTGTGCTTTCCTGCTTTCTGTGTATCATATTCATTTCACCCCAAGCAAAGCAATGAAGCCACTAAGACGCAAAAGGTTACTGAGAGAGTATAAATAAAAGAAGATATTATTAAAGAGAGAAATAAAAGAAATATCACTAAAAGAAATAAAAGAAGATATTATTAAAGAGAGAATGAAAGAAAATATTATTAAAAAGAGAAAACAATAAATGAACAGAAATTAAAAAGACAGAAGATGACGATTGACATTGCATTTAAATGTTTGCCAGAAAATTTGATTGGTTGGTTGTTTTCTTTTTATTAGCGGCATATCAACTCCTTATGGGTCATTTAATGCGAAAATTTAAATATTTTGTACACAATTTTATTTTTGGAAATAATAATGGTTTAGTGACACAAGTCTCACTTATTAACCAATAGTTGGGGGAGGGGAAGGTGGATTCATACCTCTCCTAATTTCCGCGTAAGGGAATATAGCGCAACCAACTGGAGTAGAAACTGGGTTTTCCGATTAACAATTCCGAGACATTAACCATTACATCACCAGCACATCCAAGCTTACAGTACCTGGTATTTCCAAGGGGTCATCCATCTAGGTACTAACCAGGCTTGACATTGCTTAACTTCGGAGATCCTTCGGGAGCCGGTGCTTCAACGTGATCTGGCCGTAAGCCGAAAGTTGACTGGAAAGCAAAAATCCGGAAGAGAGTTCCACAAGTGAATAGTGCGAGAAGAAAAACTGTTAGCATAGAACTCACGATTATATCTAACCATTTCAACTGTTAAATGGTGAAACCTAGCTGCCAAACTAGCAATGCGTTTAAATTGATAGTCTACCTATCAAAGAGTAAAGCTGATCGAAACAATTACCATGACACTATTTAGAGAAAAGACACAGGATAGCTACGTTACGATGGTGGGAAGTGAGTAAGACTGAGATGCCAGGTCAGGACCGATAACATTGTAGATTCTTCTTTGGAATTTTATCAAGAATCTCTAAATACATAGCAGAAGCACTGGACCAAATGTGACAGCAATATTCAATGCATGGAGGTTGATATGTACGATAGATTCTGGCGAGAAAATTGTCACAGGTGGGATCGCTACATTCTTAATCTGTTCAAATCTAGGGTTAACCGTTATCTTTCTCTCTTATCCGTGCAAATTACCTCCTAACGTAACCCTCTGCCTCGAGTGCCTTATACTGGGTGAACCTTACAGCAAGAAAAAAATTGTAAATTCTTCGTCACAAATCTTCAGAGGCTACAAGAAAGCTTAAGATTATATCAGCCGAATCGTTAGTAAAAACAAAAGATGACGATACTAGTTCAGAAATTGCGTGAACTAATAGAAATCTTTGTCTCAAATCTTCTTCAAGAGGGCCTAAGATTATAACGACCAAATCACTATGATAAAAACAATAGAGACAGAGATGCTAGTTCAGAAATTCTATGAATAATGGAGATCAAATCCAAACAGGCGGATTATATCAGTTGAGTCGTTATAACAAAAACAAGAGAGATGGCGATACTAGTTTAGAAATAGTGTGCAAGAATTTCTTGATCTCGTTTTACGAACTTTTGCAGTTAGGATGCCAAGATTCAAGTTTCCTGTATAAAGTTAGTCTAAAATGTTGAGTCTCTGTCTGGAGAATGTGGCTGGCGGTTGATTGGGTGCATGCTGACTCAGCAGATCCAAGAGCAGCGTCTTTATTGTTTGAGCAGCACTTCTCGTGGTGGAAAGAAACACTCTTCTAAATGGATAGAAATTTATTTTAGCCTTTGGCGAATGAGAAAAACAATGAACAAAAAAATATAAAAAATAAACTAAAACCAGCTGAAATAAATTATATTTTACATTTCAGTTTGAATTAAGACTGGTAATATTTTTTTCTGATCATTATCATCATGTTAGTATTCTCTACTTTTTCATCTTTCTCGTGTCTTCTTCTTCTTCTTGCCATCCTTGTTTTTCCTTTCACGATATTAATTTTCTTTCTTTCTTTCACGCTTTAATGCTTTTTCTATAGAGTAGAATTTTATAGAAATCACTCTTCTTCTTCTTCTGCTCCTCCTCCTCCTCCTCCTCTTCCTCCTTCTTCAAACCATTCTTAATCTTGCTTATTCGATATTTCTTTGACATTTCTCTTTTTTCTCATTGCCTCTTTTCTTTCTTTCTTTCTTTCTTTCATGCTTTAATGCTTTTTCTATAGAGTAGAATTTTATAGAAATCACTCTTCTTCTTCTTCTGCTCCTCCTCCTCCTAATCTTCCTTCTTCTTCAAACCATTCTTAATCTTGCTTATTCGATATTTCTTTTTGATATTTCTCTTTTTCATTTTCTTTTTTTTTTTTTTTTTCTTTCTTTCTTTCTTTCTTTCTTTCTTTAATGCTTTTTCTGTAGAGTAGAATTTTATAGGAATCACCCTTCTTCTCCTCCCCCTTCTCCTTCTTCTTCTTCGTCGTCTTCTTCTTCTTCTTCTTCTTTTTCTTCTTCTTCTTCTTCTTCTTCTTCTTCTTCTTCTTCTTCTTCTTCTCCTCTCCCTTCTTCTTCTTCTTCTTCTTCTTCTTCTTCTTCTTCTTCTTCTTCTTCAGAATCGTCATCATTATTAATCATGAGAATCCATAACACCGAACTCTTCCCTCTTCACCTCTCTCTTTTTATTTGAGTACTTATTGTCATCTTTTTTTTTCAATCTTTTTTCTTTCTTAATTGTGAACATTTTCAAGCTATCAAAAAGACTAAAAAAAAAAACGATGTCATCAGAAATGAACATTCCTGAGCGTTCTATAGAAAATTCCTAAAAAAAAAAAATAAATAAAAATAAAATAAATAAATAAAAGAGAAAATTCCGTTTCAATGAAAAGTTGGAAAAGAATAAAGGAAGAATTTTCAATTTTCAAAATTGTCGAATTATGCCGGAAGCGAAAGACTGAATTTTAAAGGTGTGGGGAATGTCCAAAAGTGATTCTTTGGAATGTTTATAAGAGGAGAGAGAAGCAAGAGGGCATTACAAATCAATAAGAAAAGAGAGATAGAAAGAAAGCAAAAGAAAAAAAGAAACGAAACGAAACGAAAACATAAAGAAAGAAAAATACGGGCTAAAGAAATGTAATAAATAAAAGAAATAATAAAACTAAAAGTATCAGGATAAGAAAGAAAGAAAGAAAGAAAGAAAGAAAGAAAGAAAGAAAGAATAGGAAATACAGCACGAAAAAAAGAAAGAAAGAAAGTATAGGAAAGACAGCACGAAAAAAGAAAGAAAGAAAGGAAGAAAGTATAGGAAAGACAGGACGAAAAAAAGCAAGAAATAAAGAAAGGAAGAAAGTATAGGAAAGACAGCACGAAAAAAAAAAAGAAAGAAAGAAAGAAAGGAAGAAAGTATAGGAAAGAGAGCACGAAAAAAAGAAAGAAATAAAGAAAGGAAGAAAGTATAGGAAAGACAGCACGAAAAAAAAGAAAGAAACAAAGAAAGGAAGAAAGTATAGGAAAGATAGCACGAAAAAAAGAAAGAAACAAAGAAAGGAAGAAAGTATAGGAAAGACAGCACGAAAAAAAAGAAAGAAAGAAAGAAAGGAAGAAAGTATAGGAAAGACAGCACGAAAAAAAGAAAGAAAGAAATAAAGAAAGAAAGAAAGTATAGGAAAGACAGGACGAAAAAAAAGAAAGAAAGAAAGAAAGGAAGAAAGTATAGGAAAGACAGCACGAAAAAAAGAAAGAAAGAAAGAAAGGAAGAAAGTATAGGAAAGACAGCACGAAAAAAAGAAAGAAAGAAAGAAAGAAAGGAAGAAAGTATATGAAAGACAGCACGAAAAAAAGAAAGAAATAAAGAAAGGAAGAAAGTATAGGAAAGACAGCACGAAAAAAAGAAAAAAGAAACGAAAGTTGGAAAATGAATAAAAAAATAGAGAAGAGTGGAAATGAAGAGAAAAAATAAGAATGAGAAACAAAATAAGAAAAGATAGAGGGAGATAAATAAAGAAAAAAAGGAAAAAAAAGAAAAAGGAAAGAAAACAGAAAAGAAAGACAAGAGAAGGAGCTGAGAAAAATGAAAGAAATTAAAGGAAGGTGAAAGAGAAAGTTACAAGAAAAAGCTGTAAAAAAAGAGTCATTGAGAAGAAGAAATAGAGAAGAAGAAGAAATAGAGAGTTTATGAGAAGAAGAAATAGAGGAGAAGAAGAAAGAAAGAGTTTACGAGAAGAAGAAATTGAGAAGAAGAAAGAATTTATGAGAAGAAATAGAGAAGATGAAGAAGAAATAAAGAGTTTATGAGAAGAAGAAATAGAGAAGAAGAAGAAGAAGAAGAAGAAGAAGAAGAAGAAGAAGAAGAAAAAGGAAAAAAGAGTTTATGAGAAGAAGAAATAAGGAGAAGAAGAAGAAGCAGAAGAAGAAATAAAGAGTTTGTGAGAAGAAGAAATAAAGTTATAGAGAAGTAGAAAACAATAAACTGAGAAAGAATGGAATATTAATTACTTTATATTTTTGCAACGAATGTAGGATCATATCATATCTCTCTCTCTCTCTCTATATATATATATATATATATATATATATATATATATATAGAAGTGAATATAGAAGTCAACATTTAAGAGGCGACAGTCTGTTTCATGCTATATGCAATCGTCAGGCCTGACGATTGCATATAGAGTGAAACAGATTGTCGCCACTAAGTGTTGACTTCTATGTTCACTTTTATATTTACACACGCTCTATCTCTGATATTGAGCACTTTATCCCATAAATATAGCACACCTTAAGACTATATTTCTTTTATATATATATATATATATATATATATATATATATATATATATATATATATATATTAATAGACTCTCTCCCGTCGGTTTCGACGTATAAGGATCTGACAAGGATTTTTGTGCGATAATCTTAAGTGGCACTTTTTTGGCCCGCAAGTGATTTGCAAAAGGAGACCGTATATGGAGCAAGAGTGAGGATTGCGGGATGAGTTCACTGTTAGATTGGCTGACCTTTTAGATCTTGCTCTCTCTTTTTGAAGACGATTCAGACTAACAGATTGAAAACCGCTGAGTCAACTAAAAAACGTTGATTTCCACTCTACCCGCTTCAAGGCTAAGCGCTCGATGGTGTTATGAGGTATACTGACAATTTGCTCTTCAGCTGGTTTTTGTATCTAAGCCATGGGCGTCCTACATTCCTGTATCCCAGATCTAACTGATTGTTCATTAGGATCTTGGGTATCCTGTCATCAGACATTCTCAGGACATGACCAATCCACCGCAACTGAGACTGTATGAGGAAAGTCTCGATTCCTCCAATATTACACCTGTTATATAATTGGGCACGCAGACAGCTCTCATATATATATATATATATATATATATATATATATATATATATATATATATATATAGTTGTAGAGTGGACAAATGAAACGGACAAATACAAGCAGGCGTGTACGCGTGTTCTGGTGTACATACTTAGACAAGCAAATAAATAATCGTTAAATTTATGCATGAGGTATAAACGATGCGATTATACGGAGCAAAGCTATGTATTAATTAATACATATCTCGTACCTAGATTTTTATGTTCGACTATAGTTTTGGTGGGTGGTGTTCCCAGTTCGTCGACGAATTCCCATGAGCGATTTGTTTATTTCCGTCGACATAGACCTCGTGCCTGAC